CCTATCTCTTTTCTCTTAACTTCCATTCGTGTACTATGCCATGACCGCACTTGCCTGTGCCATCATTAGGCTGATATCTTTCCATATCTGTATTACAGCATGGCCGCCATGCACCGCCACTAGCTGACTCATGTCCCTTATCTATGACTCGGTCGATGACGTCACTAGCTGACTCATATCTCTTATCTCTGATGACTCATGTCTCTTATCTATGACTCGGTCGATGATGTCACTAGCTGACTCATACTTCTTATCTCTGACTCGGACGATGACGTATGTGTACCTGCCCTAAACCACCTACGCCTATATAAGCATGGCCATGTACTTAGTTAGACTTCACTTTAATCTACTAGGTTTTACCTGCATTATCCTTCGCTTAGGACCTCCAATCCTAAGTCATCATATAACCGATATTCAGACTGAAGACACTCTCTTCGGTTTGTCTTAAAGAACCTTACATTTGTGAGGACACGATCCGACTTCAGGCGTAACTCTTATCGAGTACCTGTTGTCGCGCCTATCCTAGTCGACATACGGTTCGCCGTAACAGTAGGAGGGAGAAATCCCTGATACTGGTCACCCCATACCTGTCCTTAGAGTTACCCTTTGCCAATATACCTGTTTACCTGCTCTCCTTGACCTGACATGAGTGTCACTCATTCACTTGACCTTCCCTAACATCTCCAAGCTAGTCCTGATGCATTCCCTCCCTTTCCCTTACTCTCCCACCATCTCCACATCTCCGCACCTGTTATGAACTCGGATAGAGTGTTGTTCCAATAAAGGAGTCAAGATCAAGGTTGATCAAGGACTAAGCCTTATCAAGTCAACACCTCCCTCAGGAGCGATCACTTAGACTCCCACAGGATCTAAGGTTCAAATGGGACAATGGCTAGCCTCCTTCCCAAGGAGCTAGAGTTTGAGTATCAAGGAGAACCAAGTAGATTCAAGTTAGAGAAAATACAAGTGGTAACTAGGGTTTATATACATAAGGGAATCATGCACAGACCAGGCTGGGCAAAGGGTAACAACTACTAAGAAAGGAAGGTTCATGGTAAAACAAAGGTATGAGTCAAAGATAAGGGAGACCATGAGGAAACAATGCAGTGAAAAGGAAGTGTTAGAAGTACAGCCATATAGGAGTCTGCAGTGATGATGGAAAAAGAGTGGGGTACTGTAACAGCACCTGTGGACCTGATTTCCCACGCATCAGACTTCATCCCATACCTTTGGACTTGATCTCTGACCTTCGAACTTTTGACCCTTTGCATAGTACTGATTATTGAACTTGACTAGACAGCAGATCCCTCGGGTCGAACATTCTTGCTTGCAAGTGTAGCAGCTAGGCAGGACTAGTAGACATATATTGGCTAGGTATTCTAACAACTATCTAGCCAAGTTGTGTTATCCACAGCATTACATCTACTGCACCAGTATCTGGCATTTGCTGTGCTTGCATGTATCCTCTAGTATTCATCCCACGCTCATGATACTAACACTGGTTGATTTTTGCCTGCACTCATGGTTGATTCTTTGACATAGGAACTCAAAGGTATACATACAGCCTGCTGAAGGTTCAACAACTCTGCTGGGCTTGCAGAGCTATAGAAAGAAAGAGGCCTCTCACTCTGAGGTGAGAGGAAAGGCTACTGACTCTCTAAATATTGGTTGCAGTGCACCAAGCGATGTGTTTGACCCTTAAGGGAAGCAAGGAAAGCAAGATCCACTGGGTGACACCAGGTCAACTCTGGTGAAGCACAGGAATACAGAGTGCATAGGAGCACAAAGTGTGGGAATAAGGTGCTGTCCTACTACTTAAGGGTCTTATGTACAACACATATATAGTGACAACACAACTATACAGGATAAGACTTCTTGCCAGTCCTTAAGTACACGGTCTACAACTTTTCTAGTTTTCATGGTAGATAATGTGTGATTTCTTGGGAGGGATATGTTTCAATTATCCTCTTCTTGTTTCCTTGGTCTAAAAGCAACTAGTAGTCTGGAGTACTGCATGTGAACTTTGAATGTGTAGCACTTTGTGTGCTTGTGAATCATGTGTCCCTTCCTGGAAAAGAGAGAAGAAAGTAGTGTAGATGAAGCTTTAGCTTAGTCAGCTGTACTGTTAGTTATATAGTCAACCCCTGTAAGGTAGTATATAACCTGAATAGATGTTTCTTAGTCTTACTTCAAGGCTACCAAATGGCCTGCACTTAAATCTTAAATGTTCTCACACAGTTTGAGATAAAGAGTGAAAGTGGGAAGTCTATTTTCGTAGGTGTAAAATGAGCTCCTTATATACCTTTTTGGAGATCATCTTACTAAGCATGATTCTTCACAATGATTGGTAAGAATGTGCTTACAAACTTGTGTTGAGTCAGCTTGTTTACTAAGTAGATACTAAATAAAGTGAAATCTTACAAAGCATAAAGAAAAGTGGCATGAGTCATCACATGGATTGGTAAGATTTGTGCTTACAAACCAAGCCTATGGGTGTGCTGAATCAGCCTTATTACTAAGTGGATTTATAAATACAGTTGCAAGTCTTACAAAGCATGATGAATCATGACCAAACATGATGAGTCAACTTGAATCCTTACAAATCAGAGTGTTTTCCCAGTCACATGACATGCTTACAAACATGCTTGGTAACTCATGAGACAAATGTGGTGGCTGAATATGCCTAAGTAAAAGTAGAAAGAGAAAAAAATAGAAGTGAAATCTGAAAGTGAAGAACTAGCTAAACAATAAGGAAAAATGATGGGATAACTTGGTGATAGGGATCAGTCTGGTGTGTTATACCTTCCTTATCACTCCTGTTATGTATATGTCATGGTATGAATCACATACCATGCATGACAGTGCATGCTGTGCACAGACGTATAATAGACTGGTAGAAGGTGTGAAGGTGTGAACTAAGACTGCTGAGTGATGACTGGTGATGATAATGGACTGCTGCTGGGGACTAGGGCGATGACTATGATGCTAACTCATGATAATTCTGACTGCTAGATGACTACTGACATAGTTGTGGTTCGTGTCTTCTAGATGGTGGTGGTAGATCTATCTCTGAAAACTTCCTAGGCAACAGGTAAGCTGTGCCTAGGCGCACTCCCAGGGCTCAGAAGTGAATAGGGAGTGCTCTAAGTATGTAAGTGATGTAAGTAAGGGTCCATGACAAAATAATGTCATACAAATACTAAATATGGTCTGATAATGAGAATAAACAAGAAAGGACTCACTAGGGAACTGGTTGGATGATGGATGGATGCTCCCAGATGCTGCGCGACATAAGGCGACTGAGCACAGGAAGAGCGTGCTAAGTGTGTACACAGGAATGTGTTGCATAGTGCAGGAAAGTGTTGCACCTCTGGCGTGTTTTGTGGGAAAGTCATAGCTAGTGAGTTATGTGCTATACCAATTGTCATGAGTTGTAATATGGGCAATCTATGCCTGGAGGAATCTCACTCCCTACACTGCACTCTAGTTTCTTAGGCTGCTATAGATTTTAACTCCTTTGCTCACTTGCTTCCCTCGCACATATTTGAAGGAAGTGGTTCAATAGCAGTCCTCTTGGGCTGATCTATTAACTTGTGCCTCTTAGGATAAGTAGTGCTAGTTGCTAACAGCCTAGTACCTATTTCTTCTTCACACCAGTGCTCCTTAAGAGGCACATAATTGGCCAATACTGATTGAATCTTTGTTATATGGGATGATGATCCAGAATCAGCAAACCAGTCATACCAGGCAAGTCTCTCTGATTTGTCCCCTCCTACATTTACATTTTCAGTATCTTCTGCTATTTTGGTAAGATTCTCTGCAAGTTTTGATGTACTGGCCATATAGGCCACATCATCCATAGGCTCATGTCTGGTCTTACCACAGTTGGAGCATTTCTTGGACCTGTGCCAACAATCATCCTTGGTATGTCCACTCTTTTTACATACCTTACACTTTACATTCCCTTCTTTCTTCTTGCTGAACTTTCACTTTTTAGCTCCATGAACCACAATCTTACTCTCAGTGAATTTGATCTCTCTTTCTTTTCAACAACAGTCTTCTTCAAGAATCAATGTGAGCTTGTGTGACATCATAGTAGGGTTCTTTGGTGAGTTACAATGAATGTCTCCCAGCTTGGTGGTAATGAACCCATCAGGATGGTGCAGAAATCCATATCTGGCACCACACTCCCCATTAAATGGAGATTCTCCTGGATCTGCTTAAGCTCAATGATATGGGTAGGAATATCTTTAGTCTCCAAAGTGAAGGTTCGGTACAATTTATGCCTCCAGGTGTAGATACCTTGCTGACCTCGAGATTCTTTGATGAGTTTCAGCTGGTCCCACATTTCCTTGGCAGTATTGGCACCTGTAAGGTGAACCATCTGTGTGTTGCTTACAAGCAACACTATTACGGTCCTCACCTTATGATCCTCAGCTTCCCATTTGGCTATAGTGGTAAGTCTATCAGCTGATACAGGGCTTTGGCCCCTAGCTAGTTTGATCTTTGTTCCATCTATATAGCCTTCAAGCCCTTTATCACCAAGAATAGCTTGAACTTTCATCCTCCAGGGGATCCAATTGTTCTTGCTGAGATGTTTGATTCAATAGAGTGAAGATCCAGCAGAGGATTGATCAGACATTTTGATAGATTAGCTCTTATTTTGATATTGATAAGAATATGTTATTTGTGCATGGCAGGGCTCATAACCTCTTAATGAAGAGATATATGAGTGAGAGATGAGAGATGACTGATATTATTCTCAATAGGAGATGAGCAATGAGCATTAATTCTATTCAGCATATTCCATAGTATACTCATTCTATTCTAAAGTCAGATAGTCTGAATCTCCTGTTGCAGGTATGTGTACTGATTGTCCAGTTGTACCTGCTATAACAACAGATAGTAGGTAAGAGACTCAAGTCTGACAATAAAAAAGGCTCAAAGCAGTGATATAAGTGATCCAAACAAACACATGACTGATGTAGTAAGCACCAGGCTTACACCCTCCCATCCTCTGAAGACTTGAGCATGGCATTATATTCTTCAAGACTGTCACTGTTCTTGAGTTCTTGATAGGACAACCAGATGTCTGCCCCTGGACTATATCTGCACCATTGAACAAGGTACTGGAATCTGTGACCACATGGCCGTCTGTCTAGTATCTTCTCAGTTTCCCATTCTTTGTCCCCCGTTGGGGTGATGATTGGCACTGGATGTTGTACTTCTCATGATAGGTAGAGTTCCACATTGTTTGTGACATGGTGTTTGAGTTTCAATGCATGAAAAGTTGGGTGAATGTTAGTATGTTCAGGCAGGTCAAGAGTGTAAGTTGATGACTCAGGGTTTGCAGATACAATCTTGTATGGTCCATTGAACTGTGGCATGAACTTCACTACCTGCCTCCCATCTCTGTTAATGTGCTGTAGACAGGTAGACATCATTGCTGATGTTGAACTGCGGTTCTTTGCTTCTGAGGATGTTGTGCTATGTTTGCTTATGTGATTTTTGATGCCAGAAGTGAATTGTGCATGTCTGTGATATCCATTTTCAGTGAGATGATTACTTCCAATGCATTCACAATGTCATTGGGGAAGTCTATCTGTGTGTCATGAACTTTTTCTGCTGTTAGTGGTGGAATTGTACATGGTATTCACCCCAGGTGTAATGGAAGTGTGAGTAGCCTGTCAATGCTTTGACTGTAGACATGAGGTTGAACCTGACATGTGGTAGGGCATTTACCCAACCATTTTGATGATGATCAATGAAATATCTTATAGTTTGGTTGATGGTCTTATTGGTACATTTGCTCAATCCATCTGTCTGTGGGTGATAAGCTGTTTACATCTTTTGTTACAAACTAGGATAGTTGCAACAATAGCAGCTCAATAAGAGCAATGGCTAGAGTCGATTCAAGACCTTATAAATGTAAGGGTCATAAGACAAGACAAGGAGAGTGTCTGTTAAGGTCGCATGCTCAAGGGGGTTGGATCACAAGGGCTTGGCCTCAGCTCGTATGCTGTGCCCCTTTCCCAAGTATGTGCCCTTAATTTCCGGGGGCTAGAACAGTCGTCTGGAGTTTCCAGGATTTGACTAGGGCAGATAATGGATGTCCAGATCTGAAATGTGAGATAAATCCAACAGACGTCCAGATGTTACCTGGGCAAGTGGATAAGACTAATCCGGACGAAGTCCAGACTAGAAACTAACAGAGGATGGACTACCCTTAAGGTAGAGTCAGAAATGTAGTCTAGGATGCAATCCTAAGACTCAGAATATGACAAGAGACTTATCTCGAGTCCAGAGGACACAGGAATGAGCAGGAACTAAGATGATATTCGAACTGGAGTATTTCTGAGAGTTACAGGAGGTTTATATACTGTAGGTGACATATAGGAATCAGTCAGCAAACATAAAGGCTATGTATGAAGCATATGCAGAGTCTATTAGTAAGTAGGACGGATCACAAATAATGAACACCGGAAATGAAATGTATGTAATGGATCAATAATCAAAAGGAAAACATGGTTAACCGGAGTCCGGAGACAGGGGCAGTCTAAATGGAGTTGGGCGCTGATATAGGGTTTGGATTCTGGAAGGGAGATAAAGATAGATCAGATCATTTGAGATCCAGATCTCAGATCCAGATCTCAGATCCAGATATCCAGAGAAGCGGATTTAGAGTTGAGAGTCCAGAATGGCATATGACAGTGTCCTTGACTTGAATATTGATGTTCAGATGACTTTAGATTGGAGATCTTAAGCAAAGGAAGTTCCAGGTGAAACCTAGTAAGATTAAGTGAAGAACTACAGCGTACAAGGTAGACTATATATAGGGAACTGTAGGTACTTTAGGGCAGGTGTGGAATCAAAGACGAGTCAGAGATAACATCAATAGATCACCTAGTGACAGCAATAGTGATTGTGGTGTAATACAACATGAGTCAGAGATAAGACAAGGTAAAGATGAGATGAGTCGGAGATAAGTCTAGCAGCAGCGGTATGCAGCATGTGACATAATACAAGATAAGAGAGAGTGAATAGGGGCGTACATTGACTGTAACATCTTTAAATGTATACCTGTTAGGCAGTGTAGTGCTTTCAAGAATCTGCTGGTAAACCATTTGTCATGGCTGGAGATGATATTGAGAGGCAGCCCATTTTTGCAGTACCAGTGATTGAAGAAGAGGTTTGCAATTTCAGCCATGTTCATATTCATGTGGCAAGGGATGAGGCATGTGTTGGCTCTGAGTCAGTCTGTAATTGTCATGATACCATTATATCCTTGTTTGAGGGGAAGCAGTCTGATAAAGTTGATGGAGACAGAGTCTCCTTGGCTGTCTGGTACTGGCAGAGGGTGTAGAGGGCCTGGAGGTTTTGTTGTTCTGCTTTTGTTTCTTGCACATTTGGGCAGGCTGGTATGTATCCTTGAGCTCTCATCTCATGTTCAGCCAGTAGTAAGATTCCCACAGGGCTGCATATGATTTATCAAGACCAAAGTGACTGAGGTCGTCATGGGCCAAACAGAATATTGTTTCCATGAGGTGTGTGATCTGTGGGATAACAAGGCAGTTGTTGAGGTAGAGAAGATCATCACATTGTTGCAGTCCTGGTAGTGATTCAACCAATTTGCTCAATTTTACGCACCAAGCATCCATATTGTAGCCTGATTTGATGTCATTGTGTAGATTGGCAGGTAGGTTTATAGTCTGCTATGCATACATTGGGATCTCATAAATTTCAGGTGGCAGGCAGGAGAGGGTGTCTGCTACCATGTTGTCTGAGTACATGCACAATTGCCAGTAGTTCATTTTTGTGAACTGGATAGTTAAGTTGAGTTTCATGTAGTTGTATTGAGTTAAAGGCAACAGGTCATGCTGTTTGTGGTGTCAGGCCAAAACTTAGCACACTGCCTGTTTGCCAATCACTGGCATCACATGTCATGTAGATTTTGTTGTCACCAATATTGTCATGATCAATCATTGTGAGACAATCACATCCAATGACCAGTCATTTGATAGCATCAAAAGCTACTTGGTGAGTGTTTGACCACCATGGCCATTGAAGGTCTGCTGATTTCATTATCAAAGGTGTCAGGATCCATGTATGGTCAGCCAGGTTTGGCAGGAACTGTTCCAAGTATCACACCAGCCCAAGGTAAGAGTAGACATTGCTTGCATTCTTTGGGATAGGTCAGTCTAAGATCTTCTTGACTTTAGGTGTGTCAGCTTTGATACCATTGGCTGAGATGCAGTGACTGAGGAAGTTGATCTAGGTACAAAAGAGAGATGTTTTCTTAGGCAAGCAGAATAGGCTTGCTTTGCATAGTATGTTGAGGACAATTTTCACATTCTTAACATGTTCAGTGGGATGGACCCATGTCTGAAAGAATGAGTTAGTCATGTCTATTTTCCCAAAGATCTTTCCTTTGGCACAGTCACATAGAATCTCATTGATGTGTGGCAGGGGATGATTGTCTGGAATCATGTTTGCATTCAGGACTCAGTAATCATTCACCCAATGTGGTAGGGCTGTGGGGTCCTTCTTTGGTATCAGGAACACTGGGTCAGAGTCATCCAGCTGCAACATGTTTATTGAGTAAGGCCTCCCAGGCCTCATAATATTTATGGGGCATGTTGTATTTTTGGCATTGTATGATTTCATTGGGGTCCTTGAGTCTGATGTGGTGTACAATTTCAGTTGGCAATTGGTCAATATGGGGTATGTCATTGGGGAAATGGTCATCATATTTGTGACACATTTCTGCATCTAGATGTTGTAGGTATTCCCTGCAAGTGTATCAATTTGTTGATGCAAGGTTAAAGCAACATCCAGTACTGATGATGTTGTATGGTTGTTGAGTTCATTGTGGCATATTGTCAGAACAGTTTGAAGTTCATCAATAACACCTTTATGTAGTCATAATACATCACAATGTGAGGGAATGGGAATATGTACACATTCTATGCATTCTGGGGGGTTCAAGAGATTGTAATTGGCAGACTTGTTGATGCAGATTTGAAGTTTGTGATCTATAAGGAGGCAATTATGGGATAAGAATGGCCTCTCAAGGAGCAGGGGCACAACAAGATTAGGTGAGATAATAGCACATATGATACATGAATGTATTCAGTATGGAAGACAGGACAGCCACACTCACTTAGTCATGTCACAAACACATATATGGCAATAGGACTCTGTACACTTTGAACTGAAATAAATAAGCTATTTACAAGTATATTTTCTGACTGGGAAGAGGTGGACACAGTCTATCAAAACTTTCGTATCATGTATTACAAGGTCCATCAAAATATGTCTCCTAAGCATATACCTCCAATCCAAATCCTGGCCACTTGCAGTAATAGTTACAAACATGCTTTGTCTCAAAGTCATCTACCATGCTTGTGATGTTTCCATCACCAAAAAGGTCGTCTCCATTACCAATTGAGCTAGACAAGCAACTGTGATGAGCAAATGTTGCAATTAATACTAGCTGAAAATATACACACCAGTGGGTCAATATTTGAGGATCAGTCAAAAGCTCAGTGCTGCCTTAATAATCAGAAACAAAGGCTAAACTGTCTGTCTTCACATACTGAATGTGCTGAGTGAAAGCAAGAAAGATGGCTAGGTCATAGCCATATTCATCATCATCAAGTGATGGTTCACAGTCCTTGTTATGGATAAACTTTGCAAATATCTGACTACCAGGACTACCAAATGTCACTGGCTCCTCAAGGAGATACACTGCTGAAAATGTCCCTACCTTAATGTCTGCTGTGGGAGCTTGATTGGATGTTCCCTGAGTGTTCAACGAGTGATGAGAAAATGCTAAAGCAATCCCTGCATCCACAAAGTGCAAATGGGGTATTTGGAAAGATGGAGGACTCAATGCTGCATCAATACAGTGATCAATATATTCGTAAGTAAAGTTAAGGAGAGATTTCACCCAGTACAACACATTACTTTCATTTAAGAGCTTTTGGAGCTCATCTGCTAATGCATAATGTGCAATCTTGAGGGTGCTAGATCCAGCAGCAGCGGTGTGAGAGGAAGGTCTGTAGAATGGCTGCTTAACGATGACATCCTGCTGAGTGCAGGACCCAAGGCCACTGGAAGACAGAGGGGATAGTGTGAGCCACCCTGGATGTGCTGTCTTGAAAGCACCAATCCAGATCATGCTGCAAAGAGGGACATCAATAGTGAGTTTGCCAATAGATGAATTGGAGATGTCAAGTCTGAATGAATGGTGTTGAGGAGTCTTCAAGATATCAGCTAGTGGATGCACAGGGATTTGATGGAATTGAATGTCCTCATTGCATAGATCATAAACTAAACTCAATGCACATTTAGATTCTAGAAATTAAGATGAGAATGAACTCTTACCTTTAGGTGCACGTGCAGCATCCATGCTACCTCCATTTGTCAAGGCCTCTTTCAGATCATCATGGTCAGGGAGGCGAAGTACATGTGCCAGCTTCTTATGGAGAGGTGAGACAGTACTACTTGTGGAGTCACTCTTGCCTCAAACATGAGCTTGCTTTGCTGATGGACGTGTCTGAGTGGGTGCTGTGAGCCATCAAATGACTGAGTAATGGTAGGATCACATACTACAGTAGATAGACTATGTGCAGGTTCCAAGTCATTACCAAAAGGGTCTTTGTCTTCTTGTTGCACAGCAAAAGGGTCTGGGTCTTCATAGTTGTCCAAGTCAGTATAGACAGCATGAGGGTCTTGATCTTCAATATCAGTATGGATGGATCAGCATCATTGAAGCTGTTTGTGCAAGGTTTCCTAAGAAAACTGTGAGTTAATTGACATGCAATGCCTTGAACAGGTGAAATCTTACCTCTTCTTCAGTTCTTTCGAGCCATTCCTCATACTTACTCCACTGCACTGCAGGCACAACAACCATGAGTGAGAATTTCTTAGTCTTGAAAGTCATCGTCTTCAGTGCACGTTGAGATTGGACCAAGCACTGAGCCAAAAAGTATGGAATGGCAGGCAAATGCCCAGCTAGGTCAACCCAGGCAGCATCTTGGATGACAAATTCTTGAGTGCACCAAGGAAATCCCCTTCCAAATGTGAGGATTTTAGGTAGAACAGTATCGAATGCAATCACTATGAGACTAGGGGCGTCCAAGTGAGCATTGATATCCTTCTTTCCTTCAATACCATGCTCAATATAGTTTGGAGCATGAGCAATGGGCTAAACTAGCATATGCTCCACCCCCTGCAGAGACTATCACATTAGAGATAACAGCTGTGTATGAGGGGAATTCATGGAAGAAAAGCAGACATGGTATCAACTTCAGGGTATGTTTTTTTCTATCTCTCTTGTGTTGTTATATTTCTGATGCTCATACTAGAATACAGTGGCTCAAAAAACTGTCCACATGTTTTTGCATTTTTTACTATTTACAATATTGTGTGAGAATACATAAAGACCTCAGTGACATGCTAATACCATATTGTAGTGCTGCTTCAGGGCTTTGGATTGAGCACCACATCGTGAGAATCAGAGGAGATATGGTGGAGATACAAGGCTTACAAAATCATGACTCATGTGGACAGTTTTTTGAGCACATATTAAAACTATATAAATCATCATTTATGACACCATAACAATCATGCCACCATTAAATAAATTATAAAGTGGTGTCATTATGTCATTTTAAAACCATATCTAACTATACAAACCAAAAATTTCCATATGTCATGGTTATATTCACCATGAAAGCCACCCCCCCTGCTCAAAGGGATAATATCCTCTCTCTTTCCTATTCTGGCCTCTCTGCTTGTCAAATTTCCTCTAGAACTGGAGTATCCAAGTCCACTGTGGCCAAGTTCATCAAAGAAAATCACACAGACAAGGAAAACTTCTGTGAAGGGCATCCATCCAAGCTTACCTCTACTGATAGGAGGGCTGTTATTCAACATATCACTACAGGAAAGGCTGATAATGCTGTCCAGGTCACCTATTACATCAATTACACCATCACATTCCCTGTCTCTTCACACACTGTGAGAAACATTCTCAAGACAGCTCATCTCAGGTCAGTAACAAGGAAGAAAAGGCTCTCCTCTCTATCACACATATGCAGGGATGGCTAACCTTTGCCTTAGCCCATCAGAATTGGATTACACACCCTTCTTGTTTCACATATATACCTTGCCATCTGACCCAATCCTATTTATTGTGGTCTTATATGATCATATAACATGCTTCCAGTCCATGTAATCCAATTCTGATGGGCTAAGGCAAAGGTTAGCCATCCCTGCATATGTGTGATAGAGAGGAGAGCCTTTTCTTCCTTGTTACTGACCTGAGATGAGCTGTCTTGAGAATGTTTCTCACAGTGTGTGAAGAGACAGGGAATGTGATGGTGTAATTGATGTAATAGGTGACCTGGACAGCATTATCAGCCTTTCCTGTAGTGATATGTTGAATAACAGCCCTCCTATCAGTAGAGGTAAGCTTGGATGGATGCCCTTCACAGAAGTTTTCCTTGTCTGTGTGATTTTCTTTGATGAACTTGGCCACAGTGGACTTGGATACTCCAGTTCTAGAGGAAATTTGACAAGCAGAGAGGCCAGAATAGGAAAGAGAGAGGATATTATCCCTTTGAGCAGGGGGGGTGGCTTTCATGGTGAATATAACCATGACATATGGAAATTTTTGGTTTGTATAGTTAGATATGGTTTTAAAATGACATAATGACACCACTTTATAATTTATTTAATGGTGGCATGATTGTTATGGTGTCATAAATGATGATTTATATAGTTTTAATATGTGCTCAAAAAACTGTCCACATGAGTCATGATTTTGTAAGCCTTGTATCTCCACCATATCTCCTCTGATTCTCACGATGTGGTGCTCAATCCAAAGCCCTGAAGCAGCACTACAATATGGTATTAGCATGTCACTGAGGTCTTTATGTATTCTCACACAATATTGTAAATAGTAAAAAATGCAAAAACATGTGGACAGTTTTTTGAGCCACTGTATTCTAGTATGAGCATCAGAAATATAACAACACAAGAGAGATAGAAAAAAACATACCCTGAAGTTGATACCATGTCTGCTTTTCTTCCATGAATTCCCCTCATACACAGCTGTTATCTCTAATGTGATAGTCTCTGCAGGGGGTGGAGCATATGCTAGTTTAGCCCATTGCTCATGCTCCAAACTATATTGAGCATGGTATGCTGAGTACCCTGTTCTGGCTGGAACTGACTGGTGGTTGTTGCCACAATAAAGGCATGGCAATATCTGGGCCTGGAAGGTGGCCCATATGCACAGCACTACTTGAGGGCTGAGGTAGGAAAGGAACCATGTGAGGAGGGTTGATAGTAGCTATGAAATTCTGCCATTGAGATGTAATTACAAGTTCTAAGTAGAGAAATGGGACTTACATCTGTGCTGTGCAGCATTTACACTTTGCCATATGATGTTAGGATCAGGGAGTGATTGTGCAGCTAAATATAATCAATTGTGTCATTGATCAAAAATTACATAGGAAATTTAAGTGTACTTACAAGAAGGGTGAACTGAAGAGGGTTGGACTGATGTTGAAAGCTTCTGTGCATATTGCAAGTAACATGCTCTACAGATGAAGCAACCAGGTTGGCTAGGCACAATGGTGGCAATGTAATGATATGGTGCACCTTTCAGGATAATGCTACTGCAAGCAGGTCAACCACAGATATGATCCTCCTTGGCAATAGCATCCTCAGTGAACTGAGATACAAGTTCCATGTTGGACATAACGGCAGTGGCAGTAAGTACTTGTGTGATGAGGATGAGTTTAAGGAATACTGTTAGAACAATGGCCCTATGACACTTGAGAGATGGACTTATATATTGGACCATCCAGGACAACTCACTGCTTGCATCTAAGTTGAGGTTTATCCTGCAGCACTGAGGTACATCTAGTAAGTTGAGAGTTGCCAAATTCTCCATGTTGGATAGTTAGGATCAGAGTCATCATGATTATGGTCATATTCAGTTGGTGTCCAGCCAAAACAGACTTGGAAAATTTAAACTTGGAAAACAGTGCATCCAGCATCCAGCATGTTTGATGTGTTGGACTTTTGTATTGGACTTATTCTATAACCTTGTGCCTGGGCTCAGTACAGCCGTGGACTTGTTCATGTTGGACTTTTGTTCATGTCAGGCTCAGCCACCATTTGTCATGTCCAACCTGTAAGTGTTGTGTTCAGCTTGCAAGATGTGCCTTGACTGTAATCTTGCTGTATCTTGCTGTTGTTCAACTGCCTCTTATCTAAGATCTTGGTGTTCAAGTTAGTATTCAATATGCCTGCCTGACCGACTCTTATTGAGATGTTTAGCTTGCCTGTTTTATTGAAGTCTTCAGTGCAGCACTCAGTATGTTATTGGTGTTCAGTGGCCTATGTGCCTATCTCTGACCCTTATTGAGGTGTTCAGTGTGCCTATTGTGCCTATTTGACTTACTGGTGGATATTCAGTGCACCTATCTCTGACTCTTATTGAGGTGTTCAGTGCACCTTAGTGCACTCTTCTGTTATTGGTCTTCAGTACTCCTATTCAGCTGACTCTTATCTCTACCAGTACTCACATTTGAGTTTTTAAATGCTGGCTGTATGGGGACCACCACTTGTACTGCTATGCCAAACCAGAACAAGCCAACCCGTACATATTTCTGTATGTGTAGTTTACAGGCTGACATAACTTATGATATCAGTGCCTCTTGAGGAGATCACTCTGCATATTCTTAGGTACTGGAAAGCTCGTCAAACTGACAAGAAGATTGTAGAGAACTTGTGGAACCACTATGATACATCTCACTATGGACTAGGGTCAGTCAATTTCCATTGATTAGTACTACTTTCCCAATGTTTGTGGGTAGGATCATGAAGTTCAAAGAGATATGCAACAAAATGGGTCTTTTGCATACCTGCAAGCAGAACCACTCAATTGAATCCATCTATGAAGCTATGATTGAGCTCTGCCAGGCATACCCAAATGCTGGTGCACGGGAAATGGTCATTTTGCTATTTCACGAAAAGGAAATGAACATGTCGAGGTAACTCATTCAATTACCATTGATCTGTAAGAGATTTGACTAGCTATTAAATAGAAATCTGGTGATATCATACTGTGCCGCCTATGAAGCAGACCTTGTACATTGATGAAAAGCCAGTCACCTTAAGTGCAGGTGGTTCTGGGCTGCTGGTGTCAATGATATATTTGCCATCGACCAGCACGATAAGTGGCTTTGATTCGGTCTTGCATTACATACTGGGGTAGAGCCATTCTCCAGCCATATCATGTGGATCTGAGTCTGGCATTCAAACTGTAACCCTCAACTCATTCTCACATACTATCTCAATACCATCGAGAAACTGGGCTGTAAGTTTGTTTAAATAACTATCTATTGCACTGTTTACTTATTCAAGTTGCCCACCTGGGTATGACAGACATTCCAATGGTGACTCAGAGCAATCCTGGCACTGAAAACTACAGAATCACCCATGCACATACCATGCTGCGTCAAATGTATGATCCAGCACTGCAAGGTACATTACAACACCATTGGATGCAGACAAAGAAGAATGTGAAACCAGAGATCACCTGGTCTCAGTTATGGTGTCAGTTTATCCCTGGTTTTGAAACACTTCTAGATGAAGGAGTGGAGAATGGCTGGTACAATAGTGACAACACCCTTCAGGTGTAAGTGACCTTCACTCTAGTTCTCTGACATTTTAAGTTTGCTTACAGTTGCACATTTAGCATGATCTTCCATTGGGTCTTCATTCCATGGTTGCAGTGCGAGCTAGATAGGTATCAGGACTGTGTTAACAACACCCTCAAGAGGCCAGATCATAACAAGGTATTTCAATGGTATTCATTTACATTCATTTAGCGCTTATGATCACATAATTTAGGTGCTTCCACACAGTGTACCTTATCTAATATATGAGTCTGCAGAAGATTTTGGAGCTTTAGACTTCAAGGTATATTTTATTTGAATGCTACTTGAGTCACATTGTAACTAACTGGCTTATCATTCTACTAGGTAACAGTCAAACAAAACGCTATAGACCATGTCCGCAATATCTATGTGAAACCCGATCATCCTGTCTTTGATTTGGTTCCCAAACTGCTCAATGATCTTATTCAAGACTGTTATGATGATTTAGGCCATCCTCCAGTCACTCACCAGTCCATGTGGACAATTTACTTAGATTTGTATCATTCTATTCAGCACTCTGCACAGATACCAGCCATTGTTGATTCTCTTACAGATGTCACCAACTCAGACAAAGAGCCTTTGCCTCTCCTTGAAAACCAAAAGGACCTGTTTTTTAATGGGGATACTGATAGTGCTTACTACATGGGTTGTATTCATGGTGGACACAGTCTTGGTATGTTTTTCTCAGTTTGAATTAACTTTGTTTTAAATTATTGTACAACAGATGCATCTGATCATTGCTGGCTGAATGAACCAGGTGCCAACTTACTCCCTACAGCTCCAATCATAGAAGAGGAGGGTTTGGTTATTACAGGATTCTCTGATGAGGAGGACAATGATGAAACATATGTTTGGTAGCTTACTGTAGAGTTCATTTTTTTGTGTTCTTGTTTTTGTTGTCCTTTGGGCTATAGTAATATGGCGCTTGGCCACACATTGATTAAACAAAACTGAGCAGGCACAGGTGTATGGAGTCCCTGCATCACACCTGCCTAGTATGGGGTGTTATCACACTATGTAATGAGTGTGGCTGTCCTGTCTTCCATAATTCAGAGAGAGAAAAATAAGAATTGGATGATGTCAGGAATGCTGAGTTCACTTCTATTTCAGCACACAATTTGCATTTCCATATGCCAAGCTTGGCCACCAGATCTTTGTTAATAAGAACTAGATGTGACCCATGGTCAATCAAGGCCTCTATGTGCTCAAATGAAGTAGAGAGTGGTCCTGTTATGAGTAACACAACTTGGCTAGATACTTGGTAAAGTACCTAGCCAATATGTTGGGTCTAAAGTGCCATGCCTAGCTGCTATTTGACTCACAAGGGTTCCTGTACTAGACTTAGAGCTCAGAGAGGAAAGGAAATCATCATAAAATGGGTAGTCTCAAACTACAGGTAAAGAGTGAAGGTAAGATCCAATCCTTATGTAAGCTACAAAAGTGCAAACATAAACTAATGAAAGTAGAGATAAGAGAAGGTAATGAAAGTAAGTAAATCTAAGCCCAAGGAAAACTTGACTGTCACACCAAACAAACATGTAACTGATGTAGTAAGCACCAGGCTTACAACATGGAGCAACTGGAATGGTACAATAATAGCACTGGTTGAGTATGTTGACTAAAAAAGACCATATATGGACTAAAACAGTCAGGAAGAGAGTGGATCATTGAGTTAAATAACCATCTGAACAACATAGGATTCAAATGCATGTTATCAGATCCATGTGTGTATATCAGATGATTGCAAAATTGGACAGAGATCATTACCATTTGGGTTGATGATTTACTGCTGTTTGCAAGCAATAAAGCCCAGTCAGACCCTACTACAGGTGTATACAGATGCATACAGAGCCTGTATGGACCTGTATTTTTCAACCAATGTCTGTATCAACCTGGATCAAATTAGGCCTAATATAGCAAGCCTATATCAACCTGTATATGTGTGGATCAATTGCAATGGTTGTAGTGATACAGGGCAACTGGCTACATAGTAAAAACTGATAAGCATGAGGCAAACAAGCATAATAGGAGATGTGCATGAGGCATGCTGTCATCTTCAGACTTGCTCTGAACTTGTCAGATAAGTTTCTTGAGGCCACTGACTTTGCTTTTGGTAGTCATGAGCTGTGATGATGAAACATTTCAATTCAAGTCATAATAGCATGCTTCAAACTTGACAGTTGTTAGGATAACAAAGTGACTAGTATAAAATGAATGACATACCACTTTCTCCACACATGCAAATATATCATTGAGCAAATGTGATGGTCAATGCTTTTTGAAGTATGCCATTTTCATTTTTGGGTTCAGTACTACACTTGCAAATGTTAGAGCAGGCCAACCAACAAAAACAGATAATAATGAACACATAGCAATTATATAAGCTGGAGTGTCTGTCATCCTCTTATAGTACTCATCTAACTTGTTCACCGCTGTGGGAAACACAACAAGAAGAGAACTGGAAAGTAGACTTCTAATGTTGGGCTAAATGTGCTATGCCTAGCTGCTATTCAACCCTAAAGGGTTTCTGAACTAGACTCAGTGCTCAGAGAGAGTAGGAAATCATGCTAAAAACTGTTCAGTCTCAGACTGGTACTGGTAGGTGGTGAAAAATATCATGATTACATAAGCACCAAAAGTGCGAACATAACACTAAGTAATATCTGCCTATACAAGCCCACAGAATATGAAATCCCTACACCACTGCCTTGAGTGCATTAGCAAATTGACTATATTTAGATCTTTCCACTCATGACATCCATGATCTGTGAAGAGTCTCCAGTGCTGGAATAGCAATATGGAGGGTTGATCTGTGATCTGAAGAGAAGGCTTGCTGAGCAACATCAGCATACTAGAGAATCAGGTTAGGCCAATGATCAAAAATCAATTTCACTAAATGTACCAAAAGGAGGTCTGTAAATTGCCTCACTCATGTCCATTCCACAGGTGACAATTGCAGATGATTGATTTTGGAGTGTTTTGTTAGATTATGTTCTTGGCAACCCATTTTGTAGATGAAAGTGTTGACATACTATGATGTGCAACTGAGAATGAAAAATTTGGATGAAATGACAAAAAAACACACCCTTCTTGCATTCCACATGATTGAGCATTACATATGTTGAAGACCAGCAAACTTTCATGTCAAGTAGCAGCTGTGTTAGTGAAGACACACCGGCCTTGGTTTGAATGGTCTTGTATAGCTCTTTCTACTTTGTGGATGAACATTCCTGAATGTGGAAATGTGTCAACAATATCAGGGTTGAAATTGTGATGGCCATAGTACCTCAATACAAATACTGCAGATGAGGCCAACCTCATCCTGATCAATCTGAGATGTGTCCAGTTCATATGCATGTGAATCATGAGGACTATAGTGAGGCACTTTGCTGTATGTACTTATGAGGGTCTGTGTTCCAAGATTAATAACATGTGCTAGGCAACTATCAAGATAGTTAATGATTCCACTACTAAAATTGTGTAAATAGACATACTTTATTTTGCATGGCTGCCATGGAAATTCCTTCCTGCACCTCATCTCATACAGCTGTGAAAACTCTTGTAGCATAGTACTATTGTTGCTCACATTGTCACATGTAACATGCCCAAGCTTATGAGTGATACCAACATGATCCAGTACCTTGAATAAGACACCACCTAAGTGCTTGTCATTGTGCACATTATTCAGCTGCATGAAACCAAGCAGTGCACTTTGAGACTCCCACTGCATTGGATGGTTTTCTTCAATCCAGTGACCCATGATGGCAAAGTACCTGTTCACATTCTCAGCCTGCCATGTGTCACATGTTATATTGATGGCTCCACTGACAGAGTCACTCTATAACATATATTAGAAACAAACAAGTGGTGAAAGAGATGGTACACACATTGAGTTTTACTTTCAGCTGGGTTAAATGATTCTTGAAAATCTGCCACATGTGGCTTTATGACCCAGGATTTTGACACCTTGCATTGTGCAAGAAGCTACATCAATCATCTCCTTGAACTGTGGATATTCAAGGGCCTGTATGGGCTGCCATTATGTTGTTAGGATGTAGTTTGGTAATGACTACCAGACTTACCTAGTCTGTTGTGACAAGCCACTTGATAGCTGCTTTTTTTAAAAGCTTATCAGTGTACAAATCACATGCTCTGAAAGCTTTCATTCCACCATATGCACATTGGTAGTTTGCTGAGCTTGGGCAGCTTTCTCTTTCTCAGTTTTGATGTCACTGAGCAATTTAGAGATGAAGGCATTGCTCTTAGCCCATTGCCAATATTATCCCTACAGATGTACATACATGATTAGGATTCCTGCAAGCCACCACAATACTAATAGAACTTGCCACAAATTTAACTCCTGCATGTTGGCACAGTGTGGTTGTCTCATTCACAATAATGCACTGACCTCTGGTAGTGTAATAATAATGAACCATTAGAACTGTACAGAATCAAATAATTGCAAGAAAACTCACAGGCAGACCTTGCATTTACAGTGTTTTTTGACTGTTCCATTGGTGCCAGCACACTCAAATGGATTACCAAAAAATTGATCAATGTCATGAGTCTTATCTTTACATGAGGGACCAGCATTGGTGACAGGCTGCACATTGATGTCAGCAAGAATTCTGTCATCATCAACCTCTTCTTCAGCATGGTCTATTGTGGGGGCTTTTTTTTGATGGATTTGTTTGGCTGTTGCTTCCATGTGAGCAATGACACATCTTACATTGGTGGTAGACTCATGTTTGGGGTTCATCCATGCATTTTCACACTCACCATCATTGGATTCTGCATCATCAAAATTATCATCTTCAACTCATGCTCTTTTGCTGTTGTCAGGCATAGGCACAGGTAGAACAATGCCAGGAAGAGCACTTTGCAAGCTGTGGGTGGTGCTTTGATCACAAGTTTGAAGATCTTTGGCAGTCCACTTTGCAGCCTCTGCAGCATGGAAATCATTGGTAGCTTTTGTTTGGGACAGGAGAGCTGCTTTTCCAAATGTTGTAGAAGTGCAGCCATGGGTTTACAAAAAAAAAATAGTTTTGCATACTGGCCATACCACACAAGGCTCATCATCACTGTCTGTGTGAATTGCTCCAGTCATCAGAGGGCCAGTAGGTAGGAATGGGGCAGATGGTATCAGGTGGGGGGAGATGTACTAGCACAGTTTCAAACATCTGGTCTTGAAATGAGCTGGTCATGGCCATCATTTGCCCATCAAAGGCTGTGACATATGAGAGCCTGGCAAAGAAAAGTAAACCACTGAAAACAGCATGAAAACAGCAATGTTGAGCAAAGTTGCAATGCCACCAACACTAAAGTGAGTATCATAAAGCTTGGGAAGCATCACATAGGGTGACTCCCCAGTTATTTGAACATGACTTGTGTTATCATCGTTGTCAAAGCCAGAAAAGATAACAATGGAGACAAAATAAACCTAGAAGATCAAATCCGCAGAGTGGTGACTAAGTCACAAAGCTGTGGCCTGGGCCACCAGCTTGGGCTTTGAAGCATCTCAGGCCAGGCCAAAAGCTGTCATCAGGCCATGAAGTTGGCCTGGCTTGGCCTGGCCCACAGCTTGAAGCCAGGCCATGCACATCACTACTTGTGAAGAACTTTTCCACTCTTATGTGGGAAAAAAGTGACGAAAAAGGAAGTTAAGAAATGTGCGAATTTACTACTGTCATAATGACGAGCCCGGGTCTGACTTTGAGATAGTAGACTAGATGTTCTGTTGAGTACTACTAGGCGATATTATGCTCCAACTTCGAATGTCTTTGCAGATAGCTGAGCTGCGACCTGATTCGGCTCAAGCCACGGCTTTGAGCTGGCTTAGGCTCACGGCCTAGGCTTGGAATCTGGTAAGCCTAAGCCGGGGCTTTGAGTCCAAGCCGAGCCGTTCATCGCTAGCCGTGTAATTGTCTTTTCCGGTCCGTGTCTCCGATCGATCTGGAGAGAATGCAGCTGCCCGAGGTGAAGTATAAAGGGATTTTGCCTTGAATATACTAGCTAATGCAATGTCGTTCAATGTTGGTGTTTGGAAGCACCATAGTATTGTAAGTCATGATAAAAGAATGTTCGTTGGCTACATATTGAAAGCTAAGGATATATGGTACTCATATAGTGGATAGGGAAATCAGCACTAGCAATATTAATTATGTGGAACAAGCCTACACCTTCCGACCACGTTGACCGGATACCCGGCAGGCAAGTCATCTCGAGGCGGCCAGTATAATCCTGACACGAGGGCGACAACCTGCTGCCTGTCTACAAAGTGCCACTTACATTGCACCACATCAAAATCACAGTAAGAACCTGATCCTCCAATCATCAACCCCTCACACTCACCACGACCCTCGCTCTCCGTATCTCAAACACGGGTTCCGTCCCATCAAGCTGCGCATACAACAATATTACAATGTCTGAGGCCCATTGCGGGGCTCGTATATGGATTGCGCGTGGACTCCCTACAGACAACATACGTTATAGTAGACGCCAGCGCGAAGACCAAAAACACGTTAAAGACACGACAATTGCACGAAAATGAACATGCTGACAGACCTGGCGGTTGATTAATGATAACCAAGGTTCTTTCAATGCTTCCAACGCGTGGCAGCTTTTCCACTAGGACGACACGTTCCGCTGTGGATCCTCACCATGTTTCAAACGCCCGGAATTAAAACCTCGGACCTGCAATCACACAAAGCGGGCTATTGCTTGAACGCCAACGCCACCCTGCACTGCGTCCACACCTATGCATACGCGTACGGACGGACAACAAAGAAAAAGCGCCAGTGGCACAGTCACGATATGTGGCGAACGTTTTGCTTCCACACCTTATTGTTCACAGTTACTTGTGGACTAGGCATTTTTACTTAAATCCTTCGTTCGCGATGATGAGCAGGTCACTGTCCCCTCTCCTCACAGGCTTTCTACAACTTGATTGATCGCTCTGGAGCCGTCTCACACTGCATATACACCAAGATGGAAATGGACACCGCACGATACGACCCCATGGACGCACAACGTTTCGATCCGCTACTGCGCACCAGCGCAGTGAGTATTTCTTTTCTTTTCATTTCATTTCTCTTAGTGTTCTTAACACCACGCTTACCTCCATTTCCATTCTCAGAGACCCAACTCGCTTTCTAAAACCGGCACTCAAAAATCGACGATGGGGCAGGGCCTTTGCGTCAGAACTCGACCGTGTGTGCTGTTCCCCGTACGTGCGAGCGTAGGTGGTGTGTGGCCGGACCATGAGGTTGTGGTCGTCCCTCTTGAGGGGGGAGATGCATATTCGGAGGCTTCGCGCTCATCCACACCAAGTTCTTCTGCTTCTACTACATACACGACTGCGTCTTCTTCTATGCCTGATGTACCTCCATCGCACACTCCACAAGTCGATGTTTACGAGAGGGATGACGTCGTAGTCACACGCACCATCATCCGCCCCAACACCACTCCCAATCTTCATCGTAATCCAAGTAGTATGCCATCTAGAGCGCAGATGAGGCTTCCACGGATGTTCTCACGTTCGCCATCTCCCACAGCCTCTCCATCTTCTTCGTTATCTGTATTACCCCGGTCCAATCCCCCTTCGCACCCTACGAGCCCAGTGCTCCAAGCGCTTAACTGTTTTAGCACATCCTCGACTTTTGAGAGGGATGAGGATAATGTGCATATTGCCGAGAGCCCCAGGCCTGTATTACAGGTTATTGTTACGCAGACGAGGGACAGGTACGAGGACGATAGGGCGTTTAAGGAGATTGTGGGGAGTGTTTATCCCGGACCCGTCACTGTTGCTGTGGGGAGCGGTGCTTGATGCATCGACGCTCAATGCTTTCGAGTGGATCTTGATTCTTGTACCATTGTTCTTTCCCTGCATATCTTATTGCATATCTTATTGCATATCTTATCGCGATAATCAATATCTATTGCTAACTTATATTGGACTAATGGCTCGATGTTATTCTGCAAGCGTTCTTTTATGCAATAATTAATACCTATGGCTATCATATATTAGAGACTAATCGCTTGATTTTACTCAGTAGACATTCTTTCATGCATTTTTATGTAGTAGCATTATGGTCCTTCATAGTTTTTCTGAGCGGGGTATATGATTCCGTGATGTATGCAAATGATCTGCTGCTGAAAATGCGACTTCAGTTGGAAAAGAGCCCTTCCTTTCAAATGGGTGATGTAACATAAAGCTTGATGTGTGCTTCTACAAGCGTCTCTAGAGCTAGCGCACTAACAGAAGATTTCTTTATCGTGGCTCTCTGAGATAAAAAATAAGTATGCGACCACCAAGAGGAATACATTGACATACGAGAGCAAAAGTTGTACCACGATACACGAACCCAAAGAGTTCCTTAAACTCCGGATGCGCCTTGGATACGCCAACTGCATCGAGGTGTCTTACAGTAAATTTCTTGATGATCTGTGGAATGTAACGTTTGAGCGCAATACAAGGACGCCAGGGAAAACGTTGGACAGACAGATTTGTTCTCCTGCTCTATATCACCAACTCCATCGTCCACCGCACCTGCTTTACCTTTAGCATCACTGAGAGGTCCGAAAACGTCTGCTTCTCGTGCGTGGTTGGTTTTCTTTGCTGGGAGCGTGGGTACTTTAAACACAGCGCTGCCTCGTTCCTTGTCCTTTCCTCGCCCCCGTGATTTCGAATTCGGTAAATGCAGCATTACCTCTCTTGCCCGTCTCACCACCTCTGATTCATCTCCTTTGACTTTGATCCTCGTGTTCGCAGCGAGTTCTCCGATAGATTGTGTGCGTGTGAGAAGATGCTGAGGCGGTTTTCGGGGTGTAGGATCGTCTGGGCGGGGAGCACGAGTAGCTGGAGTGATGCGTGCTACACGGATTGTTATAGATGGAGTAGTCGGCGACGAATGAGCCTTTCCAAATATTAGTATTTCTGTCGTTGCTGGACCATCTACAAACGGCAATCAGCTCAGATCAAATGGAAGAATCAAGGAACAAATATACCAGTATCTCCCAAGGCTACACGCGCGCCCATTTCCGTCCGCCCATCAGGAGATAGATGCGATAAGCAGAGCATATTTTCAAAGTAGACCCGAGAGAGGGTGGCGGATGGATGGATGTCCCTGTTGGGTGTGAATGGGGGTGTTATGGGTGTTCGACATGCTCACATACATACAGACATCATCCGAAGGGTCTATGCATATATTCTTGAGCGATTCCGTGCCTTTGAGTCTGAGAGAGGGACGACCGCGCATGCTCTCGAGTGCTAGTGCAAGTGGATTGTGGAGGAGGTCTTTGTTAGCCAGAAGGTTTGCTGAGAAAGTGAGTCCATCTAAGAGGATATAAGAGTCTGGGAGGGAGAGTGAGCCGCGATACAAGAGACGAGAGCTCGACGCTTCTGACATTCAAGATGCTGTTCGACCGCGTTGTTGGTACTTGTTTACGCGTTCAAATCTTTGTTATTCATCATTATGATGAGCGGCTCATGCACATGAACTTTGGATTTACAGAAACCATGTCAATATCATGCAGACTAGGCCAGCTACTATGTACTCTCTCATCAGGGTTTCCATAATACAAACATAAACGCTTCTTCCCATCGCGGTGGGCGGCGACTTGTTTTTTTTTCGACGTCGAACATTGCGATCATCTGGCAAGACGGCTGCGGCTCATGGTCACCCGGAGTAGGAACATCTGTCTCAACGTTCCTAATCAGTCTAAAAATCACTTAAGCCGTGGTAGGTACTTGTCATGCTTGACAGTCACGCCTCGGATGCTCATTTCAACAGACTTGCCATGACTGATACCTTCTATTAGTTAATCCCGTATCAGTCCTGCGCAGCAAAGCAAATTCAGGATTCTTAAATTCATGGAAACAATAAGCTCCAGCTTCAAGTAAGGCACCTGAGTGAGGCTAATGTTATAGGCAGAAGTATCAGCGTAGGGGTGGAAACATGCTTCTCTCCTTCTGAAGAGTCAATACATGATTGCAAATGTCTGTCTCATCCACTCTGAAACCTCGTAATCACGATCCATGATGTCAACTTCATCCACGCTTCCATCCCTCCTCGGCTTTTTGGGATATTTGCAAGGTGATGCATCTCTGAAATATCCTCTCATTATATGGAGAAGGGGTACAACGATGGTTGCACATGTACTTCCAACGGTCCGGACGAGTCTCAACTAACAATCTACAGCCACTTGGCAGTTGTTATTAGTTAAAAGGATGATCCAGGCCGTTGCGACAAGTGTCAGTCCCATTAACTATTTCCAGGGGTGTGCTTATATTAGTATGTCTATAGGCTACAAATTCCGGACTGTACATCTGCTAGCCCTGGCACGGGGCTTCTGACGGATGATGGTTGCGTTCTCGCTGCGAAGTTCGTCATCTAATTCGTGTCATCCGCTTCATCCTTCAGCACAATGATTTGGCCAAACCAATTACCAGGGCCGTTGATCCGGCGCATCGCTAGGATTGGGTAAACCACAGGTGGAGCAACCTGATTTGCTGCTATGATCAATCGATGGTGCAGTCAATATTAATTTGGGACATTGGCAGACGATCCATGGATTCCGGCTGTAATCAAATCCGTACTATTATTCTTACCTACTTATCGCCAAGACATGCAAGCCTACGTGTTGCGTTTCCCCCCCCTTCCCCTGAAGGATGCCCACTCTGAGCGATCCAACAGCGGTTGACGCTATTGATACAATCAACGATTTGCCAAAAGGTGTCTCCTGTCGTGCCCGTAACGACCTTGAGAGGAGATTACTGAGGAAGCTTGATTTGCGTATGTCCATACTACTGATTTTACAAACCTGAATCTAGTGGGTCCGAGGTTTTTGCGAACTCCATTATGATACTTACTGTGCACCCTAGGTTGACAGATCCAATATTAGGTGTGTTACATACTGTTGTACTTGTATTAATCTTATGACATCTACAGCAACGCTCGGTTACAAGGTTTTGAGAAAGGACCTGCACTTGCATGGGCAACAATATGCCACGACTTTGTCCATCCTATATGTTGGATATATTGTCATGCAAGTGCCAGGGTGAGTTTCGTCCTTCATCGAGAGACAGCTGAACATAACTTGTCTTTAGGAACATGTTCCTGCACTGGCTGGAGAAGCCTTCTGTCATCATTCCGTCCTGTATGTTAGCATGGGGTACAATATCAGTATTAACAGGTTTGTCGACATCGATTGTTCATGAAGATGACTGCTAATGGTGCTCAGGGATCACAACGAAGTACACATCCTTGTTTTGCATCGTTCAGATATAGTCTCTGATTGTTTGACCCAAGTTATACTGGGATTGTTGTCGCCCGCTTCTTTCTTGGCTTTGCCGAAGCGCCCTTCTTCCCCGGTATTATATTTCTTGTATCTAAATGGTACAAGCGGGACGAACTCGCCTTGAGAATAACTCTCGTTTCTTGTGGAAGTTTTCTCAGCTCTGCATTCGGATCCCTGTTTGCATCTGCTATACTTCACAGCATGCAGGACAAACTTGGTCAAGCTGCATGGAGGCAGGCAACAATCGTCTTTCTATCACTCCTTGGAGCTGAATGGTCCGTAGATGGTTATTCTTTATTGAAGGCGGCATCACCATCTTGGTCGCAATTTGCGCGATATTCACACTCCCTGATTTCCCGCACAACACCAGGTGGATCACTCCGGAGGAAAGAGCACTTGTCATCTCTCGCCTCGCAAAAGATGGCAATGGTAAGGCTGACGAGCTTGGGAGCAGACGACCATGCGAGGACTGCAGGATGCTGTATCTGACTGGAAGGTGTGGTGGTTTGCAGTTGCTGCCATGTTCCAGGTAGTGGGGCAGTCTTTCTTCGCTTACTTCCCAACGCTGTGCGCGACACTTGGATACGATACGACTGTAACATTGTTGCTTTGTGCTCCTCCGTGGGTGTTCGCGGGTATGGTCGGATTTATTCTTACATGGTTAGTGAATCATTTCTATCAGAAAATCGCATCTCACGGAGATCAGGTACTCTGACAAGAAGCAGAGGCGTTACAAATGCTTTGTTGTTACCAATGCATTCGGCGCCCTTGCATTCATCATATCGATCTTTACGATGAACAAGGCTGCGCGCTATATTGCACTGTAAGTGGTATCGTCACTCGTGGGGCGCCACTTTTGCACTCAGAAACATACAGATTCCTGATGGCTCAAACCGTCACTGGATACCTGGTGCTCTTAGGGTGGATCAACAACACTTTCGCCAGAGAACCCGCGAAGCGTGCCGTTGCTATTGCTTTGATGAACTCAATGGGGCAAACAGGCAATGTGATTGGATCGTCAGTGACCTCGCCATCGATCTCTTGCTCTCACCAACTCACGACCGCACTTTTCGCATAGATACGCATGGCCGTTGAACTGGGCCCGACATATCGTTACTCCTATATCATCTCCATCGCTGCACTTGGGGTTTCGACAGGCATGTTGGTGGTATGTATTTGTATTT